AAATTACCCACCTCTATAAAAACTGACATCCCCATACCCTGGAGCCGCTCTCTCCTTCTGAGATGGCCCACACTGTGTCCGTGGAGTGTGTTTCTCTCTAAATGAATCCACTTCCTACCTATCACTTTGTCCCTCACTGACTTCTTTCTGTGATGAGACATCAAGAACCTGAGCTTCATTAAGCCCTGAGACCATGTGTGTGATCTCAGTTAAAAGACCATGGGTTCATGTTCCAATCTGGGTTTTGGCCAGGCTCAAGTCCTGGCCTGTGGGTTCAAGCCCCAGTCTGAGATGAATGGTTTCAGTACAATAAAATACTGCTTCAAGAATTTAGGTTTTTTTAAGTAGCTAGAGCTCATCTCAGTGCTCAGGGGATGTCAACATGAAAAATCCACAGATCTCAAGAACTTAAAATATTTTCCATTGTGCTTTGTTTTTGTTTGTTTGCTTTAGGTATTGAGATGACTTAACATTCATCAGGAAAAAACTGAAGTAGTAGAGAATGTTAATCTCAACTCCAAAGTACAGTTTCCCCCATTATCCACGGTTTTGCTTTCTGAGGTTTGTCCCCAGAGGTCAACAGTGATCTGAAAATATGAAATGGAAAATCCCAGAAATAAACAATTCATAGGTTTTAAATTGTCGGCTATTCTGAGTAGTGGGACGAAATCTCGTGCCCACCTGCTCCATCCCATCCAGGACATGAATCATCCCTTTGTCCAGTCTATCCCTGCCTGTTAGTAGCCATCTTGGTTATCAGATTGGCTGTGTTGGTATCACAGTGCTTGAGTTCAAGTCACCCTTATTTTACTTAATAATGGCCTCAAAGCACAAGAGTAGTGATGCTGGCAATTTGGATATACCATAGAGAAGCTGTGGAGTGCTTTCTTTAAGTGAAAAGATGAAAGTTCTCCAAATAATAAGGAAAGAAAAAAAAAACTTATCCTGGTGTTTCTAAGATCTGCAGTAAGAACTAATCTTCTATCCGTGAAATTGTGAAAAAAGAAAAGGAAAAAGGAATTCGTGCTAGTTTTGCTGTCACACCTCAGACTTGCAAAAGTTATGGCCACAGTGCATGGTAAGTGCTTAGTTAAGAAGGAAAAGGCATTAAATTTGTACAATAAGATATTTTGAGAGAGAGACCACATTCACCTAACTTTTATTACAATGTATTATTATAATTGTTCTTTTATTATTACTTATTGTTGTTCCTCTCTTACTGTGCCTAATTTATAAATTAAACTTTATCATAGGTGTGTATGTATAGGCAAAAACATAGTCTATTTAGGGTTCGGTACTACCGCAGTTTCAGGCGTCCATTGGGGGTCTTGGAACATATCCCCCACAGTTAAGGGGGGACTGCTGTATTGCTTTCCCAAGTTATCTCCCTTATGGTCCATGGATTCTTGAGAATTTTCTAATTTTAGAAAAATACTCCCTTACACACTAGTTTTACTCTGTGGCATTCTATTTAGTGGAGTTTTAATTTCAAGAAAAAGAAATTTAGTCAGAAAAATATTCTGCTTGGGTTTCTCCTGAAAAAGGCCTAAAGGATAGATTATTATCAATGCAAACTAAAATGTAAATCCCAAGCAAACCTTCTGGGAACCACACCCAACTTCCTGGGTAGCAGGGCAGAGCCTGAGGAAATGGGGCAGCCAGGACTGCAGGGGGTAGGAAAAGAGAAGGGGGAAGGGGATCGCATTTGTTGAACCCTTTTCCAGGACATACAGTATTTTAGGAACTTTACTGTAATTGTGTTATTTAAAGAATATAGACAAGAGTATGGAAAAGGGATTCAAAAAGAGGTTAAAAAAAAAAATTCCTTGGCTATCTTTACCTACCAAGTAGAGTCATATCTTAGCAGAAGCCAACAATGACAGATTCCAGGAAGGACTGGGTGGAAGTGGCTGCCAAGAAGAGTCACCTGCTAGGAACTCTAGCACCTCCTCACCATGCCCCACCCTCACCCCTCCAAACAGGGGGCTGAGCTTTTGCAAGACTTGTCTAAACAGCCAATAAAAGAAAATGTGTATTTAATTTTGGAGAAAAGGCCTGCTGTTTTACACGATTATTTTTAATTAGCTATTTTCTGGAGGTTGATTAAATTTGGAAGTAATTGAATCTTGGGAACTATTGAAGAACCTCAGATTGTAAACCCAGGGCTGCCTCGGGAATCTGGGATGCATTGTCACCCTGTGACCAATTGCCAGTCGTGAAAACAAGCATCTTTTGTCTACAGAAGAGATGGTGGTCATGCAAATTTTTCTAGTTCTTCTCTGCTTAGAAAGAGAATCCCATCTGGCTGACTTCTCTTTTTTCTCCAGTTCTCCTGTATGAAATACGCGAAACACAAATGCCTGAGCCACCAGAGCAGCAGATTACGTCGCCTGTATATTGAAGATAAAATTGAAACATGGCAAAAATTTAAAACCTGCCCTTGGGAGAAGCATGTAAAAGATACTTTATTTGCATAATGATATAAAAATTTTAATAAGTCCAGGATAGAAATAATTATGGAGAAGAGAAGAAAATTATCAATTTGAAAAATTCAGTCATAAGTAAACTATAAGAGAAATAGTTGAAGAATCTAGAATATTTAAAACTGGGATGTGAACTCATTTTTAAAAGTTAAGATTTTTTTATATTATATATCTAATCCAATTTTCAAAGCATTTTCATGCCTAATAATTTTCATATTATCCAGACTTATTTTATAGATGAAGAAACTGAAGCTCAGAACAGTTTTGCCCAAGGTTATACCTGAGTTGTAGTTGGAACCTACATGCAGGTCTTGACATTCAAAATCCCTGGGCCCTTGTCACAGTATCCCACTGCTTCTGTTGTCTTCCTAAAAATATTATGAAACTAAATAATAAGTTAATCATAGAGCAAGCTCTTTAGTTAATTATAACAGCAACAAAAATCCCATTTACACGGGCAGAGGAACTGAATAGACATTTTCCCAAAGAAGACATACAAATATCCAACAAGTACAAGATGAGATGCTGAACATCAGTAATCATCGGGGAAATGCAAAACAAAAACCACAGTGAGCTATCACCTCACACCTGTTAGAGTGGCTATCATCAAAAAGACAAGAAGTAAGTGCTGGTGAGGATGTGGGGAAAATGGAACTTTTGTGCACTGTTCATGGGAATGTAAATTGGTGCAGCCATTATGACAGACTGTGAAAGTTCTTCAAAAAATTAAAAACAGAACTACCACATGATCCGGCAGTTCCACATCTGGGTATATATTTGAAAGAAATGAAAACAGGATATCAAAAAGATATTTGTGCTCCCATGTTTATTGCATCATTGTTCACAATAGCCAAGGTATGAAAACAACCTAAGTGTCTATCAATGGCTGAATGGATAAAGAAGATGTGGTATATACACAAATGAAATATTATTCAGCCATGAGAAAGAAGGAAATCCTGCCATTTGTGACAACATGTAAAGACCCTGAAGGAATTATGCTAAGTGACATAAGTCAGAGAAAGACAAATACTATATGATATCATTATATTTGGAATCGAAAAATGCTGAACTCGTACAAACAGAGTAGAATGGTAGTTATGAGGGACTGGGAGTGGGCGAATTGGGGAGATGTTGGTCAAAGGGTACAAGCTTGCAGTTAGAAGATATGTTCTGAAGATCTGATGTACAGCATTATGATTATAGTCAACAATACTGTGTTATATACTTCAAAGCTGCTAAGAGACTACACCTTAAATGTTCTTACCACAAACAAGAAATAATTATGTGACCTGATGGAGATGTTAGCTAACACTATATTGCAATATTAAGTATATCTAATCATATTGCAATGTATCAGACGAACATGTTGTATACCGTACATTTATACAATGTTATTTGTCAATTATATCTCAATAAAAAAAGAAGAAGAATGCCAGCTAATAAATGTTCAATAGATGATGGAAATTTACCATATTGCAACCCCAGTGTTATAATTCATCCAAGCAGGGATTATCTAAATCAGTTCTCAAATGTCACTGTGCTGCAGAATCACCTAGACACTTGTTAAAACACAGATTACTGGATGCCATCCCCAGAATTTAGAAGGTCTCGGGTGGGGCCCAAGAACTGGTTTTTCTATCAAGCTCTCAAGTGATGCTGGTTCCAGAAATATACTTTGAGAACTACTGATGTAAACGATTGGGGAATGGGTTGTTGAGAAACAGGTTATTCACACAAACAAGGGTTATTTAAAACAGAAAACACTTAAAAGGAAAAAAAAAAGAAATGAATCAGAGTGGGAGAAATTACCAACATCTTTTTCTGACTAAATTCAGATACTGTTCACGTTATCTGATCCTGGAATCTCGAGATCTGAAGAGGGCAGGCCTTCCCTAAAAAGCCAGGCAAGATCACATCTAAACTTTAAGAGCTTTTTAGGACCAAGGATTCTATTTCTATTTCCACTATTAACAGACTTATTTGACCTTGGGCAAGAACTTGGCTTTTCTTTAGGCTCTATCTAGTTTAGTTACAAAATTAGGATCTTGAACTAAGTGTTTTCCGTGGGCTTAATGGCAGAGTGTTACAAAGCCTGAAGAAATTAGGCTGGAAAAAATGACTGCATCCTGCAGCTCTGAAATCAGAAAATAGCAATAGAGAGACACCATCTCTAGTAAAAATTATTTTTATAACATTGCATCAGGGATTTCTTTTTCTAAGAAAGATGCTTATCTTAGCATCTTAGCAATATAGATTTTAAAGGAATGTGAACAAGAAATATTGTTAGACAAGTTTTAAAAATCAATGTTGCTGCAGCCAGTCCGCGTTATATAGGGGGTTAGAAATCACTTTGCAGAAATCAATAAGTAAATAAATAAATTGCCACTTTCTTGCTAGATGTAAAACCATAAACCACTCTTGTAAAGTTTTGTGCAGTAGTGAGGTAGCTTAAGCGAGACCTGATCAGGAAACAAATATGTTTCTTTGCTACCAACTCTCTGTAAAAAGCAGCTCATTTATAATCATTGCAGTTTAGACAGGTCCCAGGTTTATCTCCTTTATAGACTCTCCATTCCAGTCTTGAGGCCATTCTGAGGAATAAATGGAGTTGGAGCTATGATGGGCATCATTTGAAGGGTCCTCAAAGACCATCTTCTCTTGACCACAACAAGGAAAACACCGCAAGGACCACCAGAAATACACAGTGACGCACAGTTCCCATCCCTGAAGTGTAGTGCCGAGCGTGTAGACAGCTGGAACTACTGAGACTTGGTAAGGCTGACTATCTCAGATTTGCTGTGCTCATTGTGGACTGCATGTGAATCACAACTTCTGTATAAGAAGGTTATAGCTATTAAGTGTTGATGTGAAACTTGAAAGCAGCTCTGCTGGATTCCTATCAGAAATCCTGCAGAAAGTCAGCCACCTGGGTTCTGATCTGCTGTAAAAGATGAAGATTTAGTTGACCTTAATAAACCTGTCCTGTGTCCCATCCATGAGGAATGCTTGTAGTGGGCTGTGGCTGTTTCAGACTTCCTGGAACACGCTGCTCTCAAAAGAGCTGATGTGTTCAGATAATCTGTGTAGGGCTATGATTTATCATTTAAACTTTCAGTTGTATTCTGAGGTAACCACAAATTAAATTCAACCAAACTCGGGTCCACCAAGTGGGAAAAGGGGTGGAGGAGGGAATAATCTTGTTTCTTTTAGTAATTTTTTATTTGGGTTGTGGTTTTTTTCTGTGTTCCATATTAAGGCCTTTTTTTTTTTTTTTTTTTTGCTTTGACTTGGAATAACTTCTCAGAGCATATTGCTTGGTTAAGTAACTTGAAATAGACATTAGAATTGCAAAGTGTCTCATGAATTTGCCAATCCCTAGATCCTAGAGTGGAACCAAATAGCCTTAATGTAAAGGGCAGTGAATGCATGGGGCTCTACTTAGGAACTCCTAAAGCCTCCTCTAAATCAGGTCTAAATTGTGTAGAAAACTGCGGTGGAAAGAGTATGGTTTCTGCTCAGGCCAAGGGATTCACTGACCTGTCCTTACAAAGTCAAAGCAATGTGAGCAGAACCTCAACTAAAACCCACTTACGTTTCATGGATCTTGCATGATCTTCGACAAGAATTCCAGATACACTTGTGCCCAAATGTTTAAGGTATTAGACATTCTGTAGACGCAGTGATTGACTAGCGTAGCTCTCTAACCAACCCTCTGGTGTGTCTTTATGTTGTTCATTTGGAGAGTCAGGGGCAAAAGAAACAGATGTAGCACTTCTGTTTTTAATAATTACGCCTTAAACGATCCAGTAATTTTTAGTCCTGAAAAGGCACATGAGGAAGCTATCCAGAATTACTGAAAAGTCTTTCCATTATAATGAGAGAGTCTGGTAGTTTCCTAGTTTTGTATCTTTGGTTCAACAAAAATATTTCAAAGTGGCATGGGACCACTTCATGCAGAGTCTGGGTTTCTCTATAATAAATTCTTTGCCAAACGTAGGAGTTGCAGGCTTGCTCCTGGCAAGAGTGAAGCAAACGGGTGAGTCGAACTATCCTGATGTGGGAACATTTTCCTCTAGGAGTTCAGTCTTGATAAAAGTGTCAGTGCAGGAATCACACTTCTTGGGAGGGTTACAGTATCACCTGACAGGACCTGCCAACCATATCTGGGCAACAGTGTTGGCATTATTTGAAGTGGCAGGCAGGATGCCTACATCCTGATGTGTTTGTGTGAGTAACTGAGCCAGCCAAGGAGAGGTCTGATGATTGAGAAACAAGGGATTCTTGGTTAAACAGAAGACTTCATTTGGGAACCAAAAATCTTAATAAATAATCTTTTGGACCTTGAGCCACATATTTCCCCTGAAAAGTATGCATTTTTTTTCTGCAAAATTTTCTTGGGGGTTATGTTATTGAGGGATGAACTGAGATGAATATGTGGAACTGTTATTTCATGGCATACTGTCCTAGAAATCTGAAGACCTGCAGGAGATTTAAAAATTCCAACCCTTGTTATAACTTTTTAAAAGACTGAAATTATCAAAATGCACATGAATCAAGTTTTAATATACTATATAATGGGTGGATGAGGCTGTCCATTGTACCATTTTTTTCTTTGAATTCTCAGGCATGGTTTGGCAGTGCAAGAACTCTGTAACATTTACAAATTCAATAAAAAGTAAATATATGGGAAAAAAATACCATCATCTCTCTAACTCCTAGCTTTTTACAGGAATTTCATCAATAAAGATACTTTCAGCCAGGAAAGGGCAGCTCATCTTGATGAACATGCAATGGGGGAATGGTGGTTCCCAAAGGAAAACTTTCACCGGAAGAAGCTGGGAAAGAGACTGGACAGGCAAAAGTAAGATTGCACGGTTCAGTGAAATTAGAGTCTCTGAGGAAACAGGAGTTTGGAGTTAGGCCGTAAGGCACTTGGGAAGTAAGACTTGGGTAAGGAATAGGGAGGTAGATCGTGGAGAAAGCCAGAGTGGAGTGAAGTTGTGGGCAGCTTGAAAGCAGAGCCTGTCTGTAGGATGACCCAGAGAAACTGGGCTTGCTTTCATTTTTCCTTATGTTGCAAGTGGATTATAAATATCACTTTCAGAAAAGCTGATAAGGCCGAAATGATGCAGTTCTGGGAAACACTTTTGTGAATTTTTACCACATGTTCCATGAATTTTTACCACAAACAATTTCATGAATTTTTACTTCCACCTTCCGCTACTTCACACTCTTCTACCCCAGCAAGATACCCTTTTGTCACCCTCTGTCATAGCCATATGTTATAGAGCTGGGAAAGGAGGGCAAAGCAAAGCCCTCAACTGTAGACCGTCTTCTCGGTCTGCAGTATCCTTAGCTTTCATCTCTAAGGGGCCTTGGAATTTCCAAAGTCTAGTTGGGCTGCTGCCTTTGAAATAAAAGCTCGGACCAGATGTGCCCGATTGAGAGCCCAGGGGGAGAAGTGTGTCTAGTTTTTGGCTCACCTGCATTCCATGATAATTATATTACATCAGAAACACATAATTAAAGACATTCCAGAGTGCACTGACACATACACATTTATTTCTTTGACTTTAAGAGAATGTCCTAATATTTCAAAATCGAAAAGATTTGTAAAATTGTAGAAGATAGCATTTTTTTTCTCCTTCTGATGGTGTTATACCATGCTAAATTGACTTAGCACGGCTCTCATTTTTGTGAGACTCAGTGCTGGTCTCATTTTTTAGAGCATATAAGGTGCCCCAGTACAGAGTGGTACCTGCATAGATCACAAACATGGAAATGTGGTTTTGGTTTCATGAACTTAGGCCAAGGATCCATTTTTCTAGTACTGAGTTTTAAAGGTAGGAGTTGAATTGTGACTAATGATCCTATTTACCGCCTACAAACAAAATGCTGAAGAACAAGAATGGGATTGAGCAAGGGGACCTCTTCAAGTCAGAGCCTGCCGGCAGCCCAGCTGGACCTGACAACAGCCTTTCACACCAGTGTCCTTCGAAAGATTAAAGAATTAAGCTATTGGAACTTTCCTTTCTTGAACAGTCTCATTTTTCAAAAAGATAAATCTGAAACAGCAGTGTACACCCAGTCCTTGGCATGAGGAAACCGGGACGGAGTGAAACAAGTATTGACCTTGGAGTCAGCTGACCACTTTGCACTGGGTGATGGAGAGGAGTGCACTCACACTAGCTAAGCCTCAGTTTTCTCCTCAGAAAAGTGGGGATACTAACACCCACTTCATAAGCTAAAATATAAGTAAGAAAGCTAGGAGGTTGGAAATGCTCTAAAAGTGTTAGTTTCCTTTTGCCTTAGCCAAACCAGTTCTTCAAGAGTGGAAGCTCAGGGTGCTAGAGCATGGTCTGAGCATTCAGAATGAAGGAGAAGGATATAGCAGAATGAGGGAGCTCCAGGTTGATGGTTTTGATTTTCTTAATAAAAGTCAAAATTAAGAGCAAAAGGGAAGTGGAAATGGGTGAGGGAAATAAGGTATAAGAAAAGAGGGAAAGGTGTAAGTTAGGTGTTCTGAAGATTGATGTATAGAGTTTACAAGAGATTTGGTAGACTTCCCAGTGACAGTGAGTGCCCTTTGGAGGCCTGTGATCCTGAAATTAAGGTGACGCCTGCTATACAATTGTGTGGTTCTGTAGCACAGCTCAAGTGCACATGTGCAGACACAAACTAGTGGATGTTTGGGGTTATCTGAAGCCAGACTTTTTGCAAGGCAAGTATGGTAAAAGGAGAGAGGCAAGACAATGCAGAGTATTTTCAAGGGAGTAATCATAGTGGTAATCATGGAATTTAAGCTAAATAAGGAGAGAAGAAAAGACAGTAGGAGACTTCCCTGAAAATGCAATGGAGCAGTATGGATATTTATTCCACTTCTGGTATGAATTATGTTGCCTTTACCCTTAGAAGGCCAATTTTATTTTAAAATAATAATTTTTTTAAATATCCCTCACATTAGCAAACTAAATCCGGAAGTTTATTAACAGAATAATACAACATGAGCAAGAACCGTTTATTCTAGGAATATGTGAGTACTTAAATATTACATCAACAAATGAAAGAAAAGTAACCAAATGACCACATCATTAGATATGGTACCAGTTATCTATTGCTGTGTAACAAACCACCCCAAACTTTGTAGCATGAAACCATTTTGTTACACTCATGGATTCTAAGGGTCAATAATCAGGACAGAGCACAGCAGGGACCATTTATCTCTGCTCCACAATGTCCAGGGCCTGACTGGGGAGGCTCAAAGCCTGAGATGACTTGATGACTGAGGGACAGAATCATCTGGAGGTGTCCTTACTTGTTTGGCACTTGATGCTGGCTATTGGCTGGGACCTCAGCTGGGCTGTCAGGTGGAAAATTTATACATGCCTCTCTGGGTACTTTCTCCATGGGTTAATCTGAGCTTTCTCATAGGATGGCTGATGGGTTCCAAAAGTAAGCATCCCAAGAGAAGAATATAGAAGCATGGAATTTTTATGATCCAGTTTCAAAAGTAACATAGTATCACTTCTGCCATACTCTATTTGTCCAGGCAATCACAAAGATCTTTCCAGGTTCAAGGAGAGATGATATAAACCCCACAACTCAATGGAAAAAGTGTCAAGCACGTGGGATGGGAGATAATGTGTGACATCTTAAAAAACATAATCTGCTACAGGTATTAAAAAATTGTTTCCTCAAGTTCAGCATCCCTTGCCTTTCTACAGCTCTTATCAAAGGAAATAGAAGGATGGTTCTATATCCAAAATAATTGAAAGAAGGGTCTCAAAAAAGATATTTCCACACCCTTGTTCATAGTAGCATTATTCAGGATAGCCAACAGTTAGAAGGAACCCAAGTGTCCACTGACAGATGAATAAACAAATGCGGTATATACATACAAAGGAATACTATTCAGCTTTAAAAAGGAAGGAACTTCTGACACACGCTACAATACGGATGAACCTTGAATTCATTGTGCTACGTGAAATAAGCCAGTCACAAAAAGACAAATACTGTATGATTCCACTTCTATAACGTAGCTAGAGAAGTCAACCTCATAGAAACAGAAAGGAGAATGATGGTTGCCAGGGGCTGAGGGAAAGGGGAAATGCGGAGCAGTTATTTAATGGGTACAGAGTTTCTGTTTTGCAAAATGAAGAGTTGTGGAGATTGATTTCACAATAATGTGAAGATACTTAGCACTACTGAACTGTACACTTAAAAACGGTAAATTTTATGTACATGTATTTTATCACAATTTTAAAAAAAAGAACTAGAAGGGGACTTTCTGGCTATGCTAAAGAATACTGTGGGAGATATTGCACACTGGTACGCTCTAGGATGAGTGCACAGATGGAAGATAAACAACTGTTTCCCAGGCTGTCTTGTGGTGAGGGCTCAAGATGTGATTTGGGTCCCATCAAACAGAAGCACTCATGTGAGGCTTTGGTTCGGAACTGAGTCCTCTGTGGAGAAAGGCGGTGTGCAGAGCGTCTGCTTTGTTGATGTTGACTGCAGCAGAGGTGGCAAGGTTCTGGAGCCAGCTGCTATAGCAGCAGCTTTTTAATTTGGCACATGACTTCTTGATTCAGCAGCTTTCAATATTGGTGGTGGAAGCATTCCCAATTTTGGTCAAAGCAGAGTGGTTATGGGGTCCAGGAGTTGCCTGGATCCTGTTCCTCCCACCTTTATGAAAAGCCTGGAGGCAAAATCATCATGGTTTGCATATAAAATGATTGTAAACAGAATCAAAGACACTGAGTTAAAAAGAAAAGTATTGGAACTAATGAAAGAGTTTAAATAAGGTAGCCAGATTGAAGTCAACTATATTAAAAGGAAAAAAAAGCTTTTCTTTAACTCAACAATAATCAAGTAGAAATGTAATTTTAAAATCCCATTCCAAATGGCAATAAAAGTTAACAAGAACAAGGAATAGACGTACAAGAAATGCGCTAGATCTGTTCAGGACATGGGTTCCATTTTGGTCCTTTTTTCTCTGTTTCACCTTCAGAATATGTTCCACATTCTCCTAACTAAAATTAATAAACAACTAAAGGAATATTATAACAAAATACTTAATGAGGACTGTTCCCCCTGAAGTCTCAGTCATAAGAAAACCTATTTTTCCATGATCAGCTGAGCAAATTAAAATTCAATTCTTCTTTAGTTGTTATTGTTGTTTCCTATTCCTAGGTTTTATTGCTTTGTTTTAACTTCTACGTTAGAGTTAAGAAAACAAAAACTATACACACCGTAAATCAAGGCTAACTTTTTCATGTTTAGACAAGGGAGGTTAAGAGGAAAACAGTTCTGAAGCAGCAGTGCTTCTGCCTCAGGGAGAGAAAGTTTTAATATAATCCTTATGAACCTGTGGTCCTGGCATTCTCTTCATAAGTCATGCATGTATAAGTAATTTTCAAAGATTTAGGGAAATCAACCATTGCACAAAGGATGATGGGATGTGTTATTTTGTTTTTGTGTTTTTTTTCCTCTCTCTTTTTTCAGAGTTGCTCGTAGTTTATTGGACAAAAAAATGAAGAGATTTTTCTCGTTATTTCTTCTCTGTCAGAAGCAGTCAAAGAAGAAGGACAGATCTGAGGAAGTTTGGAAACTTTAGCTATATTTTTCAAAAACTCTGTTTAAGGAACAAAATTAGGGTAAACTGCAAGCTCTTAGAGATTCAGATTTCTGCACATATTATGAGAAAGAAATCAGTTTTGAAAATTATCGATGCATTTCTAAAATCAATGAATTTCAACAGCTTATATGGATGCATCATGATTTAAAATATCAGTTGATGTCCTGCAAAACAACTTCATATACAAATGTATCAGTTGGGTCTGCTGGGAAGCAGAAACTGAGATGATGTTAAGAGTGCAGGAGGCTTATTGAGAAGTAACATCTGTGAAAGGAAAAAGAAGGAAGCTGGACTGGGCAGAGACGCCATCATACCACAATACAGATCTGCCAACAACTCAGCCATTGCAATGGGGAGCTCCAGAGCAAAGATTGCCCATTAGAGGAGTTCTGCCTTGGGTGGAAATTGCCAGTCTTTTGTTCCACTATCTTGCTGAGTCATTGATTGGGGCCACCTCAAGCAGAGTAAGACCTTGGCCTAAAAGCTGAAGGAGACTTGAAGGAGTTAACTGCTAGATGCTGTCAGCTAACTGCACAGTCCTTAAAGATAGGCAAGGAGTCCTTTCCTTTTTTTTTTTTTTTTTTTTGGCCACACCATGGGGCATGTGAGATCTTAGTTCCCTGACCAGAGGTTGAACCTGCACCCCCTGGAGTGGAAGCACAGAGCTTTAACCACTGGACCACCAGGGAAGTCCAAAGGAGTCCTTTCTTGAAGGGACATCTGAGCTACACAACATCTCCATGTCTGCCACAACAAGTTAGCATCAGTGTTACATACAAAACAAATTATGTGCTGCATCCTTACAATTTTTTTTTTTTTTTTTTTTTGCGGTACGCGGGCCTCTCACTGTTGTGGCGTCTCCCGTTGCGGAGCACAGGCTCTGGACGCGCAGGCTCAGCGGCCATGGCTCACGGGCCCAGCCGCTCCGCGGCATGTGGGATCTTCCCGGACCGGGGCACGAACCCGTGTCCCCTGCATCGGCAGGCGGACTCTCAACCACTGCACCACCAGGGAAGCCCCAATTTTTTATTTTTAAAAAATGATATGGATGTAAAACCTATAAACAACATCAGTTTTTAAGAAATGCCAACTGACCAATTGACCTGATTTATTCTAACATTTGCTTTATATACATTCTTGGAAGAAAACAGGGCTTTTGTAGGTCATGTGTGTTTAATAAAATCTAGGGTAACTCCACTAGTATGGCAGATCATTAAGCTCTCAGTGGGGTAACAACCCTGATATACAAAGAATTGACAGCAGATTTATTTGTGCAATAAATTTATCTGTTGTAATTAAACTACATGCTTTACAAAATGAACATGGAATAAGACAATAGTATTTTAAAAATCACTTGTCTTATATAGTTCATAAGGCACTACCACCTCAAGGCATGAGGTATGACTTCAGAGAAACTCAAAACATTGATTCATAGTCCTTATAGATATTAATATAATAGGAATAATCACTATTAGGTAACTAACTAAAATTTTCTCCTTTGTCTTATTATTACTATACCACTCCTAATGAGCACCCCTAAAGACATTAAGAACATTAAATAATTAGCCCTCTAGTTTGTCAATATTTATCAAAATTGCAAAATACTTTCCCATTGGCCCAGCAGTTCTTCTTCAGGGAATTTATCCTCAGATATACTTGAAAACAAGCAAAATAATTTTACTTATTCCATCACTGTTTATAATCAAAGGTTAGGGAAAAAAACCCAGATGTCCCTCAGAAGAAAATTAATAAAATAAATTATTGTATATCCATTTAATAGAATTATATACTATAAAAACATGAGAGTGTTCTCATGTATGGATTTGGAGACATTTTTAAGATAAATCATTAAGTGTAGAAAAAAGATGCAAAAAAGTGTTTGCTACAATTTGTTAATAAAATGGGAATATAAGAGTGTATATTTTTAGACATAATAAATGAGTTTAGCAATGTTGCAAGATATAAGATAAATTTTTAAAAATCAGTTGTATTTCTATATACTACCAATAAACAATCTGACAATAATATAAGAAAACAACCATTTACAATAGGATCACAGAGAATAAAATATTTAGGAATACATTTAACAAAAGAAGTACAAAACTTGTACTGCGAAAACTGCGAAACATTACTAAAAGAAATTTAAAATTGTACAAATGGAAAGACAGCCCATGTTCATGAATCAGGAGAGTCAATATATTTTTTAAATTAATTATATATTTATTTAGGCTGTGCTGGGTCTTAGTTGCGACACACAGGATCTTCGTTGCAGCATCAGGTCTTAGTTGAGGCATGCATGTGGAATCTAGTTCCCCGACCAGGGATCGAATCCGGGCCCCCTGCATTGGGAGCATGGAGTCTTACCCACTGGACCACCAGGGAAGTCCCTCAATAGTAAGATGGCAATACTTGCCAAATTGATCTATAGATTCAATGCAATCTCTATCAATATCCAAGCTCTCTTTTTTGCAGAAATTGACAAGCTGATCATAAAATTCATATAGAATTACAAGGGACCCAGAATAGCCAAAACAATCTTGAAAAAGAACAAAGTTGAAGGACTCACACTTCCTTATTTCAAAACTTACTACAAAGTACAGTAATCAAGACACGGTAGCACTGGCATAAGCTTAGATAAATAGATTGATGGAGTAGAATTCAGAGTCCAAAAATGAACCCTGACATTTATGTCAATTAATTTTCAGTAATGCCATCAAGACAGTTCAATGGGAAAAGAATAGTCTTTTCAGCGAATGGTGGTGGGGAAACCAGATATCCATCTGCAAAAGGATGAAACTGGACCCCTTCTTCACACCATACACAAAAATTTACTCAAAATGGATCATAAACCTAAATCTAAGAGCTGAAGCTATAAGACTCAGGAGAAATTATAGGGATAAATCTTCACGACCTTGGGTTAGGCAAAGCCCTTTTAGCTATTTCACCAAAAATCACAAGCAGCAACAACAAAAATAGATAAATTAGTCTTAATCAAATTAAAAGCTTTTGTTCTTCAAAGGACACATCAATAAAGTAAAAAGACAAACCATGGAACAGGAGAAAATATTTGCAAATCATGTATCTGATAAGAGACTTGTATCCAGAATATATAGAGAACACAACTCAAAAAAAAAAAAAAGACAAATAATCCAATTAAAGAATAAGCAGCGGCTCTGAATAGACATCTCTCCAAAGAAGGTATACAAAAGGTGAATAAGTACATGAAAAGACACTCAACATCATTAGCCATCAGGGAAATGGAAATCAAAAGAAAAATGACATACCACTTCATATCTACTAGGATGCTTAGAGTAAAAAAGATATACAATAATAAGGTGCTGGTGAGGATATGGAGAAATTGTAATCTTCATACATTACTGGTTGAAATGTAAAATGATGTAACCACTTTGAAAAACAGTCTGGCAGTTCTTCAAAAGATTAAACATAGGGGTACCATATGCCCCAGCAATTCTATTCCTAGATACAAACCCAGGAGAAATGAAAACATATGTTTGTACAAAAACTTGTACACGAATGTTTGTAATAACATTACAACCAAAAAGTATAGTATAACTAAAAAGTATAGCCAAAAGGGGAAATAACCCAAATGTACATCAACTGATGAATGGATAAATAAAATGTGGTATAGCCATACCATGGAATGTTATTCAATACTAAAAAGAAATGAAATACTGATATATGCTGTAACATGAAGGAACCTTGATATTATGCTAAGTAAAAGAAGCCAATCGCAAAAGACCACACTTTGTATGATTACATTTATTTGAACTCTATGGAATGGGCAAATCTATGGAGGCTGAAAGTAGGTTATTGGTTGCCTGGAGCTGTGGGAGTTTGGAGAGAAATGGGGAATGACCACTAGTGGATATGAAGTTTCTCTTGAGGTGATAAAAATATTCCAGAATTGATTGTGGTAATGGCTGAATAAATTTGTGTATATATAAAAAAAGCATCGATTTGAATGCTTTCAATTGTGAATTGTATAGTATGTGAATTATATCTCAATAAAGCTGTTTTTAAAAATAACATGTTTGTACAAGTTAGTACTATTACGAAGAGTGAAAATAACTTTATATTGGAGAAACTTGGTTGACCCCACCTTAACCAAGTAATCAAAATTAGCATCACTACTGACGGGATAAACTGTCATCATGTCCCCCGTGATGTGATGCACTCAGGATACCATACATTTGCTATTCGTATCCAACATACCAAAACCTGAATCTTATCATTGGAGAATTTCAGACAAACCCAAATTGAGGGACATTATAAGAAAAAATGGCCTGTCATCTTAAGAAATGGCAATACCATGAAAGACGAAGAAAGTCTGAGGAACTGTTCCAGATTAGAGGAAACTAAAGAGACACAAAAACTAAATGCAGTATATGATCCTGCACTGGATCCTAGACCAGAAAAAACAATCTCCGTAAAGAACATTGTAGGGACAATTAGTGAGATTTCAATAAGGTCTGTAGATCGGACAATAGTATTGTATCCATGTTAGCTTTCTGAATTTAATAATTGTATTCCAGTTAGGTAAATATAAGCCCTTGTTTTTAGGAAATGCACACTGACTCACTGAAATGCTTGGGGTAGAGGGGGATGATGTGTGCAAATTGGTCTCAAATGATTCTGAAGAAATATTAGACACACACATTTATGTATGTGTGTATATACGTATGTGCGTGTGTATATATGTATGTGCATATGTATGTATGTATGCATGAAGAGACAAGGACAGAGACAGAGACAGAGACAGAGAGGAAATGATATAGCAAATGGGGTAAAATATTAAAAATTGGTAAGTCTGCATGAAAGTTATATGGGAAACTTTGTCCTTTTTTTTTTTTTAATAAATTTATTTATTTTTTTTTGGCTGTGTTGGGTCTTCGTTGCTGCGCGTGGGCTTTCTCTAGTTGCGGCAAGTGGGGGCTACTGTTCAGTGTGGTGCACGGGCTTCTCCTTGCGGTGGCTTCTCTTATTGTGGAGCACGGGCTCTAGGCGTGTGGGCTTCAGTAGTTGTGGAGCGCGGGCTCAGTAGTTGTGGTGCACGGGTTTAGTTGCTCCGTGTCATGTGGGATATTCCCGGACCAGGGCTCGAACCCATGTCCCCTGCATTGGCAGGGGGATTTCTAACCACTGTGCCACCAGGGAAGTCCCTCTGTCCTGTTTTTGAAACTTTTCTGTTAAAATATTATATTTGTGTTTGCAGCAACAAACTCTGGAGGAATATATAAGAAACTAACAAAAAATGGTTACCTGCTAGGGAATTGGAGGGAAGCACTATAGCTGATGGGCAGGGTGAAAAAGACACTTCATGAATCACGTGGATGTATTACTTATTTGAATTTTTAAATGCCAAGTTATTTTTTAAAATTAACGTTTGAATATCTTTGAATTACATACCATGGTTACTCATATTCAGATATTGAACTCCTTATACAGTGGGTGCTTACCTGATGAGGTTACTTCCTCTGGACTCACATTATACAAGTTGTTTTAATAGATATTAAGTAACTTGCTTAAGGCAACAAAGAG